CCTCCGTGCGCCGGGAGATTGACTGGCCTTGCGCCGCACTCTCTCCCGGTGGCTCGATTGGTCGTCACTCCTCGATTGGCCTCTCCTCCTTGGGTAGAGCAAAACCGCTGTTAGTAACGTATGCCCCAGTCCACCGCGAGTGTGTCATAACATCCACTGGCACCATGAGATCTATCTGTGAGTGTTCTCAGCCGCACCAGCACATGCGAATCACGGCGCGGTCGCGCGCCGCGCGGTCGTCACATGACGATCCAACAGCCAACACGAATACACACGTACACACGATCATTTATGTGCCCCCACACCACCGGGGCACCGCGATCTCGACGAAAGGGTCGGAGCTCGTCGAAACAATTCGCTCGCGGCGCTGCGCAGGACCAGTGAGTAGAATGACACATATCAAGATATAACGCAGAACGGCATGGAGTCGGCGGGCAGAAGCGTACGCAGCTCTCGCTCAGCCGCCGCCCAACCGTCCCTGAAGGCGGCACGGTCGACGGCGTTCACCCCTCGATCGTGCACCAACTGGTTGCGTATCGTGACCAGCTTCCGCATTCGGCGGACGACTCCTTCCGGCAGCGGCTGACCCGCCGGCGTCTGGGCCACGCTGATCTTTTCGTGAAGGCCTGCTGTCGGTGGCGCACGGAAGCTCTCCTCGAGCAGATACTCCATCTCCTTTGTGGCGCGAATAACAACCTCAAAGTCGTTGCCGTCCACTACTGGAGAGTCGTCGAGTGCGGCGCGCAGAAGAAGCGTGGCAATCGAGACAGCGCAGCAGGCGCCAAGCTCAAACGAGCCGGAGGCGAAGGAGGCCACGGCTGCGGCGCAGAGGGCGAGGGCGGCGGCCCTGCGAAGCCCTCGCCTGGAGGATATGCGAGGAGCCAGCGGCGAGGAAGCCACGGGAGGGCGACGAGCCGGACGCTGCGGCGCCGGGCTGCGAGAAGGCCGTGTTGCCGTTCGCTCCATGGATGGACCTGTCGGCTATTGCCAGCCGCTACCACAGCTGCTCGGTGTGAACAGAGTTCGCCACCGAGCAGCGTGGAGCTCCGCAACCGCGAGGCTAGGGCGCACACCCCGAGGCCCCGACTGGGTTTGGTTGTTTAGCTGGCGAGTCGAGACCAGGCCTGCTATTCACAGCACAAGCCCTCGCCGGGGGCTCGAGCATGCGCTCCTTTTTCCAGCGGATCCCCCCCTGTGAAAAAGTGAGGCGTGGTCTCTACTCGCCAGGTTGTTTAGTCCCTCCCTGGTCGCAAGAAAGAATTTTGGGCATGCGAAGGATCCTACCTATCCCTCCCTTGCTTGGCTGTTTTCTTTCTTTCTTTCTTTACTCTAGGTACATGTACATGTAGCACGGGACTGGCTCGCACAGGCAAACGGGTGCCAAGAAAAGAAATAAGAGCTGCCCACCCCCGCGCGCCACCTGGCGTCTTCCTCGCTCCGCGTGGTTCGCGCTGAAGTCCTCTCGCCTTCCATGCTCGTTGCGAGCGCGAGCACTGTCTCGGTCTTCCTTGCACTCGCCGCGATTCTGCTCCTCCACCAGTGCTTGCTCAACGTTTGCCACCGCTGCATGGGCGAGAGCGCCAGCAACGCGTCCATAAACCTCGTCGCGGGTCTGGAATTGGGCATGGGAGTGCTGATGGTGTTTGGAGTCGGCCGGCTCGAGATCCACCACTACACCAGCTTGGGCGAGCAGATCGATCCAAATTGGTGGCGGCGGTGGGAGGCGTGGGTGGCGTCCGAGCAGCTGAGGCGGGGCGCCGACAATTCGAGCAGCGACGCCGCGTTGCCGTGGTGGGCTCGGACGCGGCCTGCGCGCGCAAACCGCTCACGAAAACATTGGAATGGCTCGCTCAAGCCGCTCACCCTCTGGCAGTGTGGCCAGGTCTTCAGCGGGCGAGCAGCGCCGCTCCGCTTCCGAGGGCTCGGCGCCGTCGGGCCGCTCGGCCGCACGCTGCAGGGCGGCGGGGTGATCCTCTTCACGCACCTGCGGCGCACCTCCGGCTCCGTGCTCGAGGACTGCATCTTGCTCCCCTCGCTGGCGGCCATCGTCGGGCTCCGGATGAACCGACCGCTGCGGGCAGGCCGCTTCACCGGCAACGCGGTGGGCATCAACTGCTACGAGGGCGGCTTGGGCCGCTTTGGCTCTCCCTCGCTGCCGCGTCGCGAGCTGGTGCAGCTGCAGCAGTGGCTCGCGCACCCCCTCCTCGTCTACCGCCACTGCCCGCACGGCCTCCACGCGCACCTCCTCCCGCAGCGGCCGCACGCCTACCTCACCTTCCTGCGCGAGCCGGCGCAGCGCCTCATCAGCTGGGCCCGCCTCTGCCTCGGCCTCCGCTCGCGCTGCCTGGGGAGGGAGGGGGAGAGCCTCGGCGGGGAGATGGCAAGCCTCCGCGGCATCTGCACGCCGCGGCCCGGCTCAAACTGCTCCCTCGTCCTCGCCTCTGGGGGGCACGTGGCGGTCGCCGTCGAGACGGCCTTCTACACGGCGCGAGACCGCGCCCTGGAGCAGCTCCCTCGCCGGCTGCCGGCTGCCAGCCTGCTTCAGCAAGAGTCGGCCACGCCGGGCGGCTCGATACCCTCCCGGCTCGAGCTGCTCCTCGACGACAACTACGCGGTTCGGATGCTGTGTGGTGGTGCGGTGCACGAGCAGGAGAGGCCGGTCGGCCTCGCCGGGCGCGACTGCGCCCTGCGCTCGCTGCAGCGGTACGCGCTGGTCGGCCTGGTGGAGGAGCAAGCCGCGTCCGTCTGCCTGCTGATGCGCTCGCTCGGGCTGAGGCCGCAGGGCGCGCTGGATGCGAGAGAGATCCACACCTATCCTGTGGCGCCGGACTTTGAACTCGCGCATGGCAGCAAATACGCGATGGACCTGGCCTTGCACGAGGCGGCGGGAAGGCACCTCGCGAGGCAGCTGCGTGATAGTCCCGAGTGCGCACAGCTCCGGGTGGGGGTTGCGCCGGGCACCCGGTGACGTCGTCGAGAATACGCGTCGGAGAGTAGAGAGCGAGAGAGACGGGAGAGGAGAGAGCGGGCTTACCCCTGTCTGGAAATGTCACAGGAAAAGTCTTGCTCCTCTTTCCGCTGTTCCTCCTTTTTCGAGAGCACGTGAGAGAGAGTGAGGAGTGAGCACACACGCGAACCGAGCTGGTGGCGATTCCGCGCCGCCGTGGCGCACTTTGGCAACCCGGACTTGCACTTGGAGCACTTGTGGCCCGCGAAAGTGTTTTTGTTTTTATCAATTTACTGAGAGATTGTCATTTCACATTTGCGGCGGCCCGCGGTTACGGGTTAGATGCACCGTCCCGCACCGCACTCCACACAGTGCGTGTGCGGACCGACTCCCACTCAATCATGGCTCGATCTCGATTGCAGCCCGGGAGCCGACGGAGTGAGGAGCTGTTGTGCATTTTGCGCACTTGGATTTTCGTTGTATGTGGCTCTTACGTACATTCCCGGAGGAGGACTGCTGACAGGGTTTGCGATTGAGGAGTGACCCGAGTTCTCGGGGTTAGTGCACCACTGTTTTGCGGATGGCAAGGGAGGGTGCGCGGCGAACCAGTTTAGACCAGTTTAGACCAATTGCTAATGGTGCTAAACACGAACCAGATCAGTCCTGTTTACGATAAACTGGGTCTAAATCTGGTGTGTCGCGCGGCAGCGGCGGCGGAGCTAGCGCGAGGGGCTAGGGGCGCCCTAAACCGGGTCTAAAACCTGGTATGTCTAATGGGGTCCCCCACCCACCCAGGCCGACGACCCCTGTTTAGACCCAGTTTATCGTAAACAGGACTAATCCGGTTCGTGTTCAGCCGTGGTCTAAACTGGGTCTAAACTGGGTCTAAACTGGTTCGCCGTGCACCCTCATGATGGAGCACTTGCGACTTGGATGGCCCGCTGTGTCACAAAAGGTTCGGTTTCAGTTCGCTTCGTAACAACGCGTCGCGAGAGGGCAACGCGGGCCCGATGGGGGTAGGCACGGAGCCAGAGCGATGGACCGCAGCGCTCGACGGGCTGCGTGAGCCTGTGTCGCATCTGCGCTCGGAGGCTTTGGATGCCCTCGGCTCTCTGCTCGCCTCAGCTGGATGGGTGGTCGAGCCTGCTGCGGCGGAGCCACTGCTTGGTGCACTGGGCGAGAGGCTGCAGGACTCCAACTGGAGCGTGTGCCAGAAGGCCCTTTCCCTGGTGGGCGAGCTTCTCGGTCATGCCGCACATGCTTCCCGCCTCGACGACCTCGCGTCCGAGCTCCTCGCGCCTGGCTTGCTCGCGAAGGCAGCGCAAGCGCCACCGCCCGCCCCGTGGCCCATCCCCCTCACACCACACGCGTGCACGAGGATAACTCTTATTCACGCCGCTCAACCCGTGGCCGCAGGTTGCCGACCCCAAAGTCGCAGTTCGTAAGGCTGCCTCTCAGGCCTTATCTGCCTACCTGGCATCAGCCGCGGACTTGCCGCGGGTGTTGCGCCGTGTGACGGTGGGAGGCATCGAGTCGGCAGATTGGCGATTGCGACAGGCAGCTTTGCTGTATCTCTCCCTGCCAAATGCCACGCTCTGCCGTGTTGCGTCGGAACCGGGGCTGCAGGCGCCGATCGCGGACCTTGCTGCTGCGGTCGTGTCCGCGCTCTCTGATGAAAATGATGCCGTCTCGTCGTCCGCCAGCCAATGCTTGCCGCGTCTCTGCGAGGCGGCGGGCGAGTCATGGCCTGCGGTTCTCTCCGCGCTTCCAACGAGCGCGCGCAAGGCCTACAGCGCATGGGCCGCCGCCGGCGGGAGTGGCGGCGCTTGGCCAGCTGATGAGGACCAGCCCGCCGGCTCCCCCGGGCAGGCCCCGGCCATAGAGCAGACGGCGGACTCAGACGACTCGGACAACGAGGCTGGCCCAAGCGTCTCGTTTGGCTTCATCCCGGCACCGCTGATGGCGGGGCTCGAGCAGAGCGGCAGCTGGCAGTCCCGCGCCGCGGCCATAGGCCAGTTGCAGGAGCTGCTCGATGGGCTTGGCGAGAAGGAGGGAGGCGACGGCCGGAGAGCGGCAGCCTCGCATGCGCCTGCATTGGTCTCCTTCCTGCTCAGAGTGCTCGACGAGGAGCAGAACTTCAAAATCGTGCTGACTACCCTGCAGATCCTGTCCGATGTGCTTGAGGCCTTTGGCGAGGCCGTGCGAGCTTGGCCCGAGGCCGCGACGGTGCTTGTGCCCGCGTTGATGGACCAGTTTGCCGATAACAAGATCGTCATCCGCCGCGCCAACCTGTCTGTCGTGCGGAAGCTCATATCGCTCCTCACCCCCGCGCGCGTGTTGCGGCCGCTGCTGCCCTTTGTGCGCCACCCCAACTCGCACATTCGCGAGCAGGCCATCGCAGTCCTCCTCGAGGCGCTCGGAGAGGACGAAGCGCAACCGTTTGAGCTCCACCGATCCGCACTCTCGGCTGTTGCGCCGGCGCTCGAGGACCCGAAGCCCAAGGTGCAGCGCGCCGCCTCGTCGGCGGTCGGCGTGCTCGGCGATCGCATCAAGGAGTCAAATGAGGGTGGGGACGAAGTCTTTGAGTCGCTGCTCGAAGAGCTCGCGCTGCCTCCTGCGCTCGAGGCGCGCGTGCACGAGCGGCTGCGGGAGGGAGGAGCGGCTGTGGGCTTTGCCGACAACCTTGCCGAAGTCACCACGCCTGGTGGGACACCTCCGATGGTGCGCTCCGGATCGGCCGGGTGGAGGGCGGCCGCGGGGCCCGAGATGGACGACAGTCCTTTTGCCGATCTGATGGAGACCACCGCCGGCAGCCGGCGGATCGCGACTTGTGGTCGTGGCCGCTTGCCGTGGGAGGCGACATCCGATGGTCACAAATTACCTCGCGCAAACTCCCTCGGGCTCAGTGTCCTCGCTGAGGGGATGGACGAGGGCAGGCCCGGCCAGCGTGCCAGCACTTCGCACGCCGAGGAGCGGCCCGGCGGAGGCTTCGGTAGCCGACGAGGCGGAGGGATGCGCATCGAGCTACCCTCCGATGCGGCAAGCGACAGCCTGACAGGTCTTGGTCCCCTGTCGGCGCCGAGTGCCTTCAACGACGCGCGCGCGTCGCCAACGCCGATATCGCCCGCCGAGTCGGAGTCGTGGGGTCCTCCCTCTCCCATGCACTCTCCCACTAAGGCAGACGCGCTGCTCGTTGCAATGGAGCGAGACATGGCGTCGCGCCGATCTGGCGGCAGCACATCGCCCGTGCCCTCCGGCGATTCGCCCGTGGGGTCTCCGGCCTCGTCCTCGCCGCTGGGCGCGCGCAGTGGCCGCGACAAGGTTGGCATGTGGCTGCCTGCCGCCCGCGTCGCTGGTAAGGCGCCCGGAGCTACGCGGCCGCCGCGGCCAGGAGGCGACGTGGGTGGGGAGCCCTCGGCCCCTGCCGCCGACGCATTGCAGCTTCTGAAGCGGCGGCAGGCCCCCCTCGGTCTGAATCTCGATGCCTCTGCTCGTGCTCCGAGCTCGGCAGCGCCCATGCGGTCGCCGCAGGTGCGGTTTCCCTTCCAGGCGGTGCAGCGGTCGCATTCGGCGCCACAAAAGCGCACGACCAAGGAGCTAGCAATCTCTGGCGTCAATGACGCGGTGGGTGTGAGCGAGCGCCTAGAGGGCGCCATAGGAGGGCGCCGTGGGAGCGGGGCCGGAGACGCCATTCCTTGCGAGAGCCCCCCTCGCAGGCTCCCTCTCCGCCGCGTGGGTTCCCGGTTGAGTTGCCTGGCTGCCTCCAGCACTGAGGCCGCCGCCGTGCCGGACCGTGGTGCTGCAGCTCCAGGAGACGGCGAGGTGCTGCCCCCCAGAGGGCGGCGCAGCGGTGGAGGTGGCGACAGTCAGCCTGCGCTGGACGTCGTGGGTCGCGCTTCTGGGCAGCAGCCGGAGGCGGGCGGTGGGGGAAGCAGCTGTGACAGCGGAACTCTTCCTGGCGGCACCGTCCATCGTGTCGGCTTCTCGCCCGCGTCGCCACGGCGCTCCCTGCCGTCGGAGGATTCCAGTCGCGGCCAGCACGCCGGGGAGCGGGGCTCACGACGTGGCGGTTGGGGCTCGGCGGCTCCCGCCGCAGTGAGCACAATCCCGTTGACGGCGGACGGGCTAGTGGGTGGCGGGATCAGTGAGCTTCGAACGGAGGACTTGCGTGCGCTGCCGCCGCCGCCAGCCGCGGAGGCGGCGGTCGCGCGCACTCTCGAGCTGCTGAAAGACGGGGATCGCGAGGGGGACTGGGCAGCTCAGTACGAGGCGATCAACATGTTTCGCCGACTAGTCGCTGCGCAGGACGTCGGCTCGCCCGACCCATCGCTGCTGTCTCAGCTGCACGCCCTCAACCGCCTTCTCATCCAGTTTTGCGACTCGCTCCGCTCTGCACTGGCCAAGAACGCGGCGAGCGCCTTCCGCGAGATGTTTGGTTCGCTCGGCCGGCACATGGAAGCCGACCTTGACCTGATTGTGCCGATGCTCATCAAGAAGAGCGCCGAGACAAGTGGCTTCATTGCCGACGAGGCGAACAAGGCGCTCGCTGCGATGGCCGCCTCCGTCTCGGAGGGGCGCGTAATCTCGGCGCTCTCCGGTTGTGCCACACACCGCAACCCGACCGCGCGAGCGCGAGCCGCGCTGCACCTCTCCCGCGCCCTCGAGGGCATGGGATGGGGCCGCGTCCTGCACATGCGCGAGCTCGATCGAATCGTCCAGGTGTACGCGGCGCTCAACTCGGAAGGCCTGTCCGAGACGCGATCTGCCACCAAGCATGGGCTCGTCAGCATCCTGCGAGAGGCGCGGCGAGCGGGCGGCGAGACGCGTGAGCGTCTCGAGCGGCTCCTTGCGAGGTGGTTGTCCGGGCCGGCCCTGAGGAAGATTATGGACGCCGCCGAGACCTCACCCCCTGCGGGGGCCTTGGGTGCGGCACTCGACGGCATCGGCCCTCCCGACGCAGCGAGGCGCTCCCAACTGCGAGCCTCTCGCGCCTCACGCAGCTCATCCGACCGCCGTTCATCCCACGGCTTATCCGATGCACCGGCCGAGGCCGTGGACGAGCGCGCCGGTGCGTTGCTGGCCGCGCTGGCCTCGTCCAACTGGGCGTCACGGCGCGATGGCCTCACGGCACTCGCGGCCCTCTCGCGCGCCTCTCCGGAGGCGCTCGTCCGCTCGCCAAAGCTGCTGCCGCTGCTCGACGGGCTCACGCCACAGCTGACGTATGCCAACCCAAAGGTCAACTTGGTCGCGATCGGCGCCCTCGAGGAGTTGCTCCCCCTGCTCGGCGACGCGCTGGTGCCGACGGCGCCGGCGCTCGTGCAGGCGCTCGGCTCGTGCCTCGCGTCCTCGAACGCACAGGTGCGTTGCGCCGCTTCGCCGTGCCTCGACGCGCTGTTTGCCACTGTCGAGCCCGGGGCGCTGCTCGGGCCTGTGGCGGCCGCCGCGCTGTACGGGTCCAACCCGAGGGCGCGCGGTGCGATGCTCGAGCGGCTCGGCGAGCTCTCGGTCTCACTCCACCCAACCAGGCCGGGATTGGTCGTAAAGCACGCGGTGGGCGCCGGTCTCAAGTTGCTGGAGGAGGCGCGTCCGGAGCTGCGCAACGCCACCATCTCGCTGCTACGCACTCTGCACAGCCTCCTCGGCATCTCCCTCTTCGATGCGGCTCAGGTGAGCGCCGCCTGCTCGCCTCGCCCGACCCCCTGTGCCTCCCGTTGACCCCTCCCGTTCCCCTCCCCTCCCAGCGGCTCCCGCACGAGACGCAGCAGAGGCTACATTGCGCGGTGCAGCAGCACTAGCGTCAACGCGTGGTGGGATGGCGCCTGGCGCGTCGTCCTTCTGGTCCGGAATGAACTCGTCTGTGGGCTGTGGCGGATCGAGGCGGTGCGTGTTGCACACGTCTCCCTCCCTTGGGACTCTGCGCCCACGAGCGGCTACCGCGGGATACGTATTTCTCTCTTCGGTGTGTGGGTGAGGGCGGAGTTGCGCCGAGAGGTGGGAGAAGCCGCGGGACATGACCTGCTCGTTTAATTCTTTTGGCGCCGCGCGAGCTCTTCGCTAGGCTCGTTCTGGCGCAAAAGCGAGATGGTGAAGGTGCTCGCAAGAGCCTCGGTCGTGCTGATGGTGCTCGGCACGCCATCGCTGGCTGCTGCAGTGCGCGTGGCGCTGCCTGCTGCCGCAGCGGCCGCACGTTGTGGCCGCGTCCGTGCGCCGCCCGCCTGCGCGGGCGCCGGCGAGGACCTGTCCAGCCTCGGCCTGACGCCGCAGCTCGAAAAGGTGGTACGAGGCTTCAAGTCGGTGCCCGACCAGAAGCTACGATACCAGCAGCTCCTGTTTCTCGCTCAAAAGCTTGCCCCGATGGACGCGTCGCTCGCAGTGGACGCAAACAAGGTGCCAGGCTGCCTCTCGACCGTCTACGTGCATGGCTCCCTGGGCGATGACGATACCATCAACTTCGTGGGCGAGTCAGACTCGCAGCTGACCAAAGGCATCGCGGCCCTGCTGATCAACGGCCTCTCCGGCTGCACGAATGAGGAGATCCAGGCGGTCGACCCAAGCTTCATCCAGGCAGCGGGCATCGCCCAGTCGCTGACGCCCGGCCGCAACAACGGGTTCCTCAACATGCTCAAGATGATGAAGGGGCAGGCGGCCAAGCTCGCGGAGCGCGACGAAAGCAGCGGCGGTGGGGGCGGTGCGGCGAGTGATGCAATGAGCGAGGCGGCGAGATAATAGCGCGCTAGTGCTGCATGGGACGAGGGGCTGTTGAAGTTTTCTGGTAAGCGATCCTTGCTTCGACGCCCGCCAGGGGTCGGGCTCGTAGTCGGACAGGGGTCCCTCAGAAATCGACTCAGAAACGAGGTGGAGCAGCTACCGCCTACCCCGCTCCCCAGTGGCCGTTTCGCGTTTCGCCACGAGACCACGCGCGAAAAAGCCACAGGAAAAAGCGCACGCGAGGGCCGTGGCGCGGGTAGGAGAGGTCCCTTTGGCTTTGCCCGCGGCGTCGAGCGTCGTGACAACCTAGGAGCGACTCAGGGAGCCTGCCTCGCCTGCTAGAGTCTTGTCTGGGTGAAATTGTGCTGGTGCGGCGTGAACGCACGAACGAGGCGATTGGTCGTGGGAGAAGAGTGGCCGGTTGACTCCCTCACATCTCGGAGCCGAACCCAGTCACTTGGGCTGCGCCGGGCCTTGCACGAGGAGCGCAGACCCGCGGGCCGCACCCGCGAGCCGAGGACACGTTCCCGCCGTGTGTCGACGTGCGATCAAGTGCGACACGCCTGAGCGAGCTGGGCTGAGCGCCAGCAGCAGTGATGAGCGAGCGGCCGACGAGGCAGCAAGGCGCCTTTGTGTACACGGGATCTGGCAGGAGGCAGCCGGATGACGCGCCCATAGAGCAGCGTTTGTGCAAAGACCAAGCATGTGCTATCCAGCGGTGCCTGGCTAGTAAGAACCATAAGGAGGTCTACTGCAAGGAAGAGATTCGCGTGTGGCGGGAGTGCTGCGAGCGGGCCCGTGCCTTGGGAGCGCAGAAGCATGAGCAGTGAGCGGTGGGGTTTGTAAGCTTGCGTACATAAACGCAGCGCGAGGTAGGCTCAGATACGCCACGCTACTAGCAAAGAGAGTACATCTCGACGACAGCGAACACATGCGATATGGTTACTTCCCCCAGGATTGGTCTTCTCTGCATGCGGGAACACCCTCGGGCGGCCGGGTGGGGCTGCGGCTGGAGCTAGCATGGCTCGATAGAGCCGAGACCCCGTGTTGAGGCGGCGCTCCTGTGGGCGGCTGTGGAATCGGGAGATATTCGAGGCAGCCAGATCTCCCGATCTCATCCCAGTGATGGACGTCCGTACGTCCCTTCTTAGTGATTGTGTTTCGGACGGCCCTTCGTTGTGTTCTCCTCCGTCCGCCAGCGAGACTGGCTCAGTCGCTGGCGGCCACAGTTCTCTGTGAGGTGGGAGGAGAGGAGAAGACGCAGTGAAGATGGCGCAGCAGCAGGCCCCGCCAGCTGCGCAAGCGCCCATCGTCGTCGTCGTTGACGAAGTTCAGATCACCAGTGATGCAGCGCTCGTTCTCGTTCCAGGGGCTCAGCACGTAAAGGACCACACGCCTTGTCTGAGTTGGACCACGGTGTACGACAATGCAGGAGCAGTGACCAACTACACCCTGGGGCAGAGCGACGCCAAGGGCGCCTTCCTGCCGCGGTGCCGGTTCAGCGTGGACCAGCAGACAGGCACCCTCCTCGATGGGAACCACGTTCTCAATGTGCTTTTCAATGGGGCATTCTGGTCGCGGCTTCTGACCGCTCTGGACGCGGCGAACCTCTTTGCCACTCCCATGGAGAAGATCGGCGTGTTACACCAGCGGCTCGCCGGTCTGGCAATGGCCAACCCAGGGGTCTGGGTGATCTCGCACTCGGATATCTTTCTCGGTGAAGACTTTGACGCGCCCGCCGTCCCAGCGCCGGTCGCGGGGAGAGGCCGGGGCCGCGGTCGAGGGGGCCAAGCCGCGGCCGTGGTGCCGGTCGTGCCAGGACCACAGGACCTGGTCTTCCTTACGCATCTCCCGCTTCGCGCGCTCGAGGCGGGCGGGGAGTTGCCTCTGCTGCTGTACTCGCTGCTCTCTTTCCATTTGGGACCGATAGCCACAAGGGCGGCCCGCCTGCCCCTGGCAGCCCCCGCAAGACTCACGGCCGGCCTTCTCCAAGGAGCTATTGTGCAAAGCGTGGGGGCGGCGGCCGCCAACCCTACGATGCTCGCGCTCCAAATCCCTCGCTTGCTCAAGGGCGCTTCGCTCCCCGTCATCTTTCAATCTACCTCCGCGGACCCACACACGAGGCTCGAGGACTTCACGGACTTGCTCCGCATGCAGGCCGGCGGGGTAGATGAGAGGCGGCGCATCGAGGAGCGGCGGATCATGCTCGCCACCTCGCTGGGCGCGCTCTACCAGCTAGTCATCCAGCCGTCGCCCTCGGTCTCGACTGCAAATACCTTGGTGAGCCGCCTGGCCAAGCGAACTTTTGGGCAGCCACACGTGCAGTCGTCAGCAACATCCAGGCCGCCAATGTTCCAAACGTAGTCATGGACCAAGGGATGGCAGACGTGGCCGACTTCTGCTCGAGGCAGTGCGCCGCGGATAGGGCGGCGTACGCGGAAGCACAGGGCGCCGCGCCTCGCGGGGCGAGCGGCGCGGCCACCCGCGGGGCAGGCAGTGCGGCAAGCGCGCCACCAGCTCGCGAGGCAGCGCCGAGCTCGCCCATCGACGCCCGACCGATCACCGCCGAAAACGCCACAGGGCGACCGGTCCTCGTCGCAAGCGTCCTCTGGCCACAGTACGCGTGCAAAGAGTTTGGCGGAGCTGGTTGGGCGGCGACCGTGTTGCGATGCTCCAAACACACCGCAATCGTACGGTTCACGATTGCCACGACGCGCGATGGCCGACCATACGAGGACGCGCGCGTCCCGCTCGACCAACTGCGGCCGCTGCCTTCGCAACAACTGACCGCATAAGGCGCGCTTCAGATGGTGAAACCCATCATAATCAACGCAGGGTGGAACCCGATACAATCACCGCAGGGTGGAACCCGATATAATCACCGCAGGGTGGAACCCGTCATAATCACCGCAGGGTGAAACCCGATATAATCACCGCAGGGTGGAACCCGTTATAATCACCGCAGGGTGGAACCCGATATAATCACCGCAGGGTGGAACCCGATATAATCACCGCAGGGTGGAACCCGATATAATCACCGCAGGGTGGAACCCGACATAATCACCGCAGGGTGGAACCCGATATAATCACCGCAGGGTGGAACCCGATATAATCACCACCATGCTACCCGGCTTGCGAGTAGGGAGGAGGAGGCTGCGCTGCGCAAGCACGGGCGGGAGGGGCTTCTCCTGCGGAGTCGTGCGTGCGCAGGGCTCCTCTTTGCTTTCTTCTACTCCCTACTATCATCTCGTTCCCGTCCTACCAGAGAAGGTTACTTCCCCCAGGATTGGTCTTCTCTGCATGCGGGAACACCCTCGGGCGGCCGGGTGGGGCTGCGGCTGGAGCTAGCATGGCTCGATAGAGGCGAGACCCCGTGTTGAGGCGGCGCTCCTGTGGGCGGCTGTGGAATCGGGAGATATTCGAGGCAGCCAGATCTCCCGATCTCATCCCAGTGATGGACGTCCGTACGTCCCTTCTTAGTGATTGTGTTTCGGACGGCCCTTCGTTGTGTTCTCCTCCGTCCGCCAGCGAGACTGGCTCAGTCGCTGGCGGCCACAGTTCTCTGTGACCCACCCACCTCTCCCTTGTGTTTTGTCTGGGGAGGGGCTTCTCCTGCGGAGTCGTGCGTGCGCAGGGCTCCTCTTTGCTTTCTTCTACTCCCTACTATCATCTCGTTCCCGTCCTACCAGAGAAATATTATATTCCGGTTCGTGTGTTGCCGTACCGCGGCAGGCACCTGCGTGTTGCGTGCCTGGGGCACGCGCACTCCAGCACCTGGCACCTTACTCGCTACTCGGTACCCGACGAGCACGACACACTCGAGTCTGACTCAAGTACGTCGGACACGCTGTATCAGTCACAAAAGCTTCTCGCGCGGACCTCTGACACGTAGGGCAGCATGGGTATCGTCCCATTGGCATTCACCCCATTCACCCACCACGCGGGGATCGCCTCCCATAGGGCCGCCGCCGTGGTCTTGGCGCGTCGCGTGCAGCTGCTGTAAAGGCCGACTTGACCTGCGGGCCTGATGCCCCACTGTCGCATCAGCCACGTCAGTTGGGAGACCGCCTCTGACACGCCGCAGATCCGCCCTTCGGCAGCTTGCACACACGGCGGGTCTATAGGCGAGATGTTTGTCAACTGCCCCTGCTTCCGGCAGTGCCGCATCAGCACGTACACGACGCCCTGGGATCGGATGCTGAGGGTGAAGAGGTTGTTGCTGGCGGCAAGCCCTAGCTGGCGCTGCAGGACAGTGCGCTCCGCGCTATCATCGAGCTGGAGCAGCTTGGCCACCTCGCGGATGAAGTTGCCGTGTGAGACTATGACGATGACGCTTGCATTCTCCGTGTTGAACCGGCAACCCTCCGCGATGCGGCAGAGCAGCTTCTCCGGGCTGGACGTCGTGTTGGCCCAGTCCCCGTCCGCCCCGCCAGCTCCAAACAGTTCCTGTGCGGGATCCGGGCAAATTGTCTCCTCATCACCGCCAAAGCCGCTTGCGCATGCGGTTGGCATAACGCCCGGTGTCACCTACGACGCAGGGCCAGTCATGGTATCGGTGTCTGCTGGGTGGCCGGCCACCAAAAGCAAGGATCACCTGGGCACTAGCCAGGAGCGCCGCCCGCTGGGCCGGCTCCATCTCACAGAAGCGCTGCCCGCCGTCGCTCACGAGGACGGCGGCGGCCATGACGAGGGCTAACATCGCGCAATTCGTAAAATCAACTGTTGCGGCTGCCGCCAGTACCCCCCACACACAAGACCTTGCGAATATTCTTTCGCATTGGGACAAGTATTGTTCTCGTTGCTGAGGCGCACCACCAATGCGCTGGGCGATGAGGGCGTTAATTGCGGCCGTCGTCGCATTGCCATTGGACGGGCCCGTGGCCGCAGCCGGTGCGGCTCAGGTGCGGCTGCAGCCGCGGGAGCGGCCGCGGACCCGCGGCCTGGATGACATTGCCTTCCGCCTCGAGCATACTCGCTGGAGAGTCACATTGCAAAGTTGGTCGTATACCGCTGCCGACCACTTGCAAGAAAAGTTTTCAAAAATCTCTCCCCGACTTGCTTGCTCTATGCTCTGCGGACTGCGCGGTATAAATAAGGAAAGCGGATATTCCGTATTCCGTTCGTGCGAAAATCGATGCCGCCTACTCTATAGCGCTACTTTGTGACGACTCTGATTTGATCTGATCTGTGAGGGTCCGCGCCCGCAGGCGCATTTTGTATACCGAGGGCGAGGCGGTGCCCGGTGCCGAGCGCAGGCAGTGCCCACACAGGTCGGACCCCTTAAGACAGCATTGTAAGATCCCTGGGCGAGGGTGGTGGAGAGGAGGCACTGTCGGTCGGACCGACCTGTTGGAGGTAGGCCGCTCGTCTAGGCCAATCAGGTAGCGTTACGAACAAAATACCATCCACGAGACACTCCTCATCTCGGGGACTCTACGTCATCCATGATGGGACTATGACAGCTCGCTCGTGAGCTCGCTTACGGGGAGATTACGGTCACAGATATTGCTTATTGGAGAGATACATCAAGATACCGCAAAAAAACCGTCCGCACCAGGGCTCAGCCGAGATGGGTCCCGAGATGGGGCATACCTTGGCACCCCTCGAGAAGAATCCACCGCTATTCCCAACGTGTCAACTCCGATCTCTTTTCGCGCACGACACTAGGCGTACCTGTGTTAGTGCCAGTGCGCGCCAGTCCCGAGAGAGAGAGAGAGAGATTCTCTTCTCTTCTTCCAGTCCCGTGCCAGTGTCCTGCGAGGGAGTTTTATTCTTGGAGCACTTGGAGTGCAGTCATTAGCCTCACATCCAGGGCCGGGGAGCTGAGGAGCGCACCCAGCGGGCCGGATGATCGGGATCGGGTTGCGGGCAAGAGAGCCCTAGCCCCGGGGGTGCGCGTTCGCAGGGAAAGGGCCGTAAAGTAAACACGGGTCCCCGAGGGTTGGCTCTGCGCTCCGCCTCTACACGGTTATTCTAAAATTCTTTTCTGAGGAAGCCGTCGCCCGCGCCTCGCCTGTCGCGTGAATCGTGTCGTGACCGCCTGCCGTGCTTCTAAAATTCTTTTCGCGTGGCGCAGACAGCCATGCGCGCTGACAAGTAGAGGCCCCGCCCACCCAGGGTAGTATCCAAAGAGAGCGTCGTGTGCCTCGCCTGAGCCTCGCCTGAGCCACGCGCGAGAACTGGAGAGGCGTCGCCGGCGCCGTCGCGCCGTCGCGAGGCCGCTCGATCGAGACGCCTTATGACACAACCGAAGAAAATGCCTGCAGACGTCGTAGCTGGCGTGGCGGCCGGTGGAGCGAGCAGTGCAGCGGCTGTGTCGGCGGCGGAGGGAGCAGTGCCAGAGTGGATGGCGGATTGGTCGCTCGCCCTCGCCCACCGCGCCGAGCCTCACGGCGGCCTCCCGGTCGGCGCTGTCCTGGTCCAGCCGCACTCCGCGGAGCGACTGCGCAAGCTGCTCCTCTCGGCGTGCGGCGCTCGGCTGCCTCTCGAGACCCACCGCCTCGGCCCGTCGCCTCACCGCCGTCTCGACTCGGGGCTGATGGTGCACTGCCCTCCGCCGATCGCGACGCTCTTCGAGGCGGCCATCGCAGGAGAGGCGCCTCTCTGCACCAGTCTCGCTGAGTTTGTATCTCGCGCACCGGTCGTCTACCTCTCCGGCGTGAGGAGGCACGAGCGAGTACTGGGCCGGGCGCCACCCGCCGCCCGCGGTGTGCCGGCAGCGCCTCCGCCGCCCTTCACGTTTGCAGAGGTGTTCGCCGGGATCGGCGGCTTTCGCCTCGGCCTCGAGCCTCTGGGAGGGGTGTGCAGCCTCGCGTGCGAGGTCGACCCGATGGCGTGCGCCACGTACCGGCTCAACTTCGCGCGCGACGGGGCCCTGCTCGAGGCAGACCTCACCGGCCTGCCTGCCGACGAGCTGCCTGCCTTCGACCTGCTCGCGGCAGGCTTCCCGTGCCAGACCTTCTCTGTCCGTGGAGAGCAGCGGGGCGTCGAGAGCACGCCCACCGACTGGAGAGGTCAGCCCGCTCTGTCCACACGCGACCCGCCCACACCTCGCTCCCCCTCCCCGAGGCCTCTTCCTCCTCCGGCCCGTCCCGCCTGGCGAGGAGGCGCCTCCTCGACCCCCCTCTGCACCCTTCAAGCGCATGCCTCCTCGACCCCTCTCCCGCAGGCGGCCTCTACCTCGAGCTCGTCCGGCTGCTCGCCGCCTGCCGCCCGAAGGCGTTCCTCTTCGAAAACGTGCCCGGCCTCGTCACGCTCGGGGGCGGAGGCCGCTCTGCGGCCGTGAGCGGCAAGCCGACCACCTTCCGCGCCGGCTCCGTCCTACGAGGCATGGTTGCCGCCTTCGAGGGGTGCGGCTACGTCGTGAGCTGGCGGGTGCTCAACTCGCGCCACTGGCGGCCGCAGCAGCACTCGGCCGTCGCCCCCCTCCCCCTCCCGCCCCACCCGCCGGCCCTTCTCTCAGGCTGCCGCAGTACCGCGAGCGGCTCTTCCTTGCGGGCGTGCGGCGCGACTGCGAGGCGCGGCCGATGGACTGGAGCGGACTCTGCTACGAAGGCGGCCAGCCGCGGGGGACCTGTCTCGGACGCGTCTCGGACGCGTCTCCGGCACATGCCTCGGACGTGTCTTCGTAGGCGGCAGCCATGCCCCGGCCGGGGCAGGAGGAGGCGGGAGCGTGGCGGAGATCCTCGAGCCGGATGACGCTCCGGATTGCCTGGCGCCCAGCACACACGGCCAGCACACACGGGAGCTGCGCCGCCTCTCGCTCCCTCACCTGGCCGGCCGTGCGCTGCAGGCGGCGGAGCTGACGGAGGCGCAGCTCTCCGTCGTGATGGCCCAGCTGGAGGCGCGGGGCGAGTGCCTGGCGGACCGCGCCATCCCAACCGAGGGCAAGGCGCCGACCCTCATCTCGCTCTACCAAAAGACGGGCGGCTTCTCCACAAAGTTCGTCTGCGAGGAGAGGGACGGCACGCCGCGCGACGGCGCCCCGCCCCACCGCCTCCCTCGCTTCCGCACCCAACCCTAACCCGACCCGAACCCGAACCCTAGGCGCCCCGCCCCGCCGCCGACCTCGCTTCCTCACGCCGCGCGAGTGCTCGAGACTGATGGGCTTCCCGGAGAGCTACTCGATCCCGCCACGCAAGCAGGGCGCCGGCTACTCGGGCTTCTACAGGCAGATTGGCAACGCCGTCTGCCCTCCAGTCGTCGCCGCGGTGGGGGAGCGGTTGCTGGTAGCCGCGGGCGTCAGGGCGGCGGACGAGACGTAGACGTGGCGCTGCGGACTCTTTTTAAGCGCTCTGCGGTCACCTCTGTGAGTCCTTGTCGCCGGCTTGCCGCTTGCGTTGGGTTCTTTTTTCGCTCCACGAGCCCGCCTCTGGTCTCTTACATGTACCGCGCCGGAGGGAGCTACGACGAGCCTTGAACCCTTGTGACGCACTCCGGGCGTCGACTCTCTGACTCTCCATGCTGCATGCAAAACATGAAAAAATCGTACCACGCCCTCACGCGGAGACGGGCTGCGGGCTGAGCTCTTCCACGCGGATCCGGCTGCTTTGCGGCGCGGGAGCGAGTGCGCCGCCGAGCGCGGCGAGGGCGAGGCAGGCCGACGTCGCCGCCAATAGGGTCGGGACGCGCTGGGAGAGGCTGCCGTCCACGACTTGCGCGAGTATGGCCGCGACGCGGCCGAGGGTGGAGAGCAGCGAGAAGGCCGTGGCGCGCACCTGCGGGCGAGGCCGGGCGGGCGGGAGGCGGTGGGCGGGCGGCTGGCGGTGGCTGGCGGGGAGGCGGCGCGCGCCTCGAGGGGGAAGGACTCGGCGGAGAGGCAGTTGAGGGCGTTCCAGCCCGAGATGGAGCACGCGGAGAAGGCGCAGGCGAGGAGGAGGACGGGCCCGTGCAGGGAGAGCGCCAGCGCGCTCGCCGCGGCCAGACTCAGCCCCGCGACCAGCAGGAGCCGCCTAGAGCGCAGCACCGCCCATGACCCTCTCTTCTCCATGACTCCTCTCCATGACCCT